ATCAACATTTGATTTTTCATGTATATATCAAATCCATCAACAATACTCTGGAATCTCAAATACAATTAAGACCAATTGTAAATGGGCTAGGGCATTTAAAGTCCACCAAAACAACTACCACTGCTACCCATTATCAAGTGCAATCAAAATAACAATCACATATATCCAAAAAGCCCAATAGTACAAGTCTAGAATGTAGCGGAAAGGCTATGATAATGTTAACTAAAACAAAAAGGCCCTAAAGTTTGGCAATATACATCAGTCAGATCATGTATATCAAAATAGAGACTATACAGAGTGGAAAGAAAAACTCAAGCCTTGGACACCTTCCCCTTGCGACCAACACCTGAACCATCGCCTGAAAAATGTTAAATAACCACGGGGTTAGTCAAATTGACCCAGTAACCACAATTCCAATTCAACAAGTATCCAGAGAGTGATTACAAGATAGCTAAGCGGGCAAAGTACAATTTCAAATAACATATAAGTTAAACATCTTTACAGAAAACAATATATAATAATTCAACAAGTAACTTGCATGCATAGAACTTCATCAACCATCCTTATAACCTCCTTGTAACCTCTAACAGAACCCATGGGCTATTCACACATAACAGGATTCGTCTCTTTTACAAGACTGCACCAAGCTCTCCAATAATGAGGTGTAACTCAGCCAAAAGTTACAGAGTTCATATCGGACCATGGGTTTCCTTTCCTTGGAATATGGAAAGGTGTCGTGTCCCTTGGGCTGATCCTTGACCCGGCCAAAGGAAGCGTAATACCAAGGGCTCTAAGAATGTTAATGCCAACCACTGGGCGCCAAGTGGCGGCTATACCACGTGGTATAAATAATCAGACCTCCCACAACTACATTTCAGCACAACCAACACAGCCCAATCCAACCATCCAATTCCACACAATTTCATATCCATAAAGTATTCTCAGATTCAATAATCAAATTTGTTCAACATCAACAAGATATTCATAAGATGAAACAATTCATGCCTACTTAACTAATAAATTTAACGAAACATAAATCTTGATATAGATATATAAATTACTTTTCATACAAAAATCACCATAACATATATTGATAACATTTATAATATCAACACATGCTTATAATCACATCAACAAGCATACAAGGTAAATTAAAAAGTGGTTACCTCAAGTTCTTGACACAAGAACTAAAAGTAGGAGGATTTAAGACCCAAGAGCCCAAACCAAGCTCACTCTACAACAATAAGTTTATAAACATATATTAATAAAAAAAGACTAATTAATATAGCATAAAAGTAGTTTATTAACTAAATCCCCATAATTGGCTTACTTTAAAAAAAATTATCTTTGGGAAAAATAATAATTCATCTATTCTTCCAAGTGACAATTTCTAGTACTTCCCAACTCTATTTTTCTCATTCACATTATTAATAAGAATAATCCCTTCAAATCATCTAAAAATCTCCAAAAAGTGCTTACTTTAACTCTTAGAAAAATAATCATGTACCATATATGCCTCCAATCATTATTACAATCCTGTTCCCTTCTTCCATTAATCATTTCCCATTCATTAGAATCAATAACTTATAATATTTTCCTCAATTTACTCCAAACACCCAACTTCCACTACTTAAAGTCTCTCCAAGAATCATTAACATTACTATTTCAACAACAATCCTCAAAGTTTAAGCATTGGATCCTCAATATAACCTCAAATAAACTCAACTAAGAGATAAATTTCGAAATTAATATCATCATTAATACAAATCACAATTTCCCAATCAAACCCTAACTTATGTTGTCTCAAATCAATCATCCAACTAAAAATCTAAGTCATAAGGCTTTTATTCTGACCCCATAAGCTCCAATAATATCATCAAAATAAGTTAGAAACCTTAAAAATTAAAAATCTAACAAGCCCTAATAGGCTTTATTTTCAGCCATAAACTTACAAAAATAAAAGAAAAAGTTAAATAAAAATAGTAGGATGAAAATAGCTTACCTAAATATCTTATATGTACCCAAGTAGAGCCCTTCCTTTCTCACACACTCAAACTACCTCTCATGCCCACTCACTGTCGCGGCTGCAGGGAGGACACGGACCAGAGGAAATACGACACGAAGGAGAAAGGGGAGGCTACAGGACGGGAGGCGGAAGAAGAAGGGGAAAAAATGATTCAAATGTAAGGGGTCACGTGACCCCTTAGTCAAACTCTTAGTTTGTTTGTTTTTTTTTTTTTTTAACAGGTGGGTCACGGCCCACCGGGGATTTAATTCCAGTCCCCCAAAACAAACAGTGGGTGGCCGAGTGCCACCCACTATTAAAATATATATATGTTTTTATATTATATTTATCTATATATATTTTAAATATATATTAATTATTATTTAACTATTATTTAGTAATTAGTAGTCTAACTCGTAATTAAGATTAGCTTCAATGATAATTAATTAATCTCATTTTAATAAACTAAAATCTAAATATATATATATTTTTGGATGTTACATTGTGGGAAAAAGTGATGGAATATAGGTTGAGGCTGGAAACTTCTATTTCAGAAAACCAATTTGGATTTATGCCAGGGAGATCCACTTCGGAAGCAATCTATTTATTAAGAGGGTTAATGGAAAGATATAGAAGTAAAAGAAGGAATTTACATATGGTCTTTATTGACTTGGAAAAGGCTTACGATCATGTGCCAAGAGAAGTAATGTGGAAGGCTTTGGGAAAAAAAGGTGTACGGGTTGCTTATATCAGGGCCATACAAGATATGTATGAGGGGGTAACTACCAGTGTAAGGACGCCTGGAGGTGAGACAAAGGACTTCCCTCTTCAGATTAGCCTACATCAGGGATCCTCTTTGAGTCCGTACTTGTTCAACATTGTTCTGGATGTTCTAACTGAACCTATTCAAGAAAGAATCCCTAAGTCCATGCTTTTCGCGGATGATATAGTTCTCATGGTGGAATCAAAAGAAGAGATTAACACTAGATTGGAGTTATGGAGAAGGACATTGGAGTCAAACGGTTTCCGCTTGAACAGGAACAAAACAAAATATATGCATTGTGCTTTTGGGGGGAGGCAAGGCAATGAGGATTTGGAGGTGAAGATGGGGGAGCAAATCATTCCTCAAGTATCAAAGTTTAAATACCTAGGATGCATTATACAGGAGAATGGGGAAATTGATGGAGACGTTTCTCATAGAATACAAACTGGTTGGTTAAAGTGGAGGAAAGCTACCGGAGTTATTTGCGATAAGAAGGTACCTGAGAAACTTAAAGGAAAATTTTATCGGACTGCTATAAGACCGGCTATGTTGTATGGTAGTGAATGTTAGACAATAAAGGAAAAACAAGAGCACAAAGTTGGGGTAACAGAAATGAGGATGTTGAGATGGATGTGTGGTCATACAAGAAAAGATAGGATTTGAAATGAAAATATCAGAGCAAGAGTCGGTGTGGCACCTATCCAAGAGAAAATGGTTGAAAATCGCTTAAGATGGTTTGAGCATGTGCAGAGAAGGCCATTGGAGGCCCCTGTGAGGAGGGTGGATCAGACAAGATAGAGTCCAATAAAAAGGAACAGAGGAAGACCAAGAAGAACGCTTTATGAGGTCATTGAATAAGATCTCCTAGTCAACAACATATCTAAGGACTGGGTTGTTGACAGAGCACGATGGCGTCGTGTGATTCATGTAGCCGATCCCACCTAGTGGGATAAGGCTTGTTGTTTAGTTTAGTTAGTTACTAATCTAAATTACGATACATATTCTTATTTCAAGTGATTTAAATGGGTTTTTCCCTATCGTTTTCCTACTGTGTGATTTAGCATGTTACTGATATTTCAATGAATCTAAGACTATCCTTAGACTATGTTTCCTTGGATCTTCCTTAAGTGATGCTTCCTCGTCTCTAGGCTTTACCGATGCCAATGAAATGCTGATGAACGTCGAGTAGCGAGGAGTATAGTGAAAGGGTTGTGCCTTTTGAATTGGATCATTGGATGTCCTCACCTCCACATTTCTCTCCCTAGTTTGTGTCTTAACTTAGGATATTCCAGTGAATTATTTACAAGACTGGAGTGGCATGGGTTGATAAACCCAAGTTTTATGTTGCATCTTAGTTCTGCCTTGCTGTTTCTGCAGTGGCATGTGTTTCTGTTTCTCTAGCCATGTAAAAAAGATTATCTGTTTTGCTATTCTTGGTCAATGAATAAATTTTATCTTAAAATCCATATCAATGATAATTTAAAATCTGTGCGTACATGAGTGTTCCCCTGATTTTTTTTTCCTATGCACATGTATCTTTTTAATGGAAAACAACCTTGTCGGGACACTAAATGTGACGCCTCTTTCATATATTACCTCTGATTCTTATTATAAAAACTAGTTGACTAATTTGAATATATTAAAAATTTTATTAAGTTAGTTATTTATAATAATAGGTATTGTTTTTCCTAAAATACTCTTGCTAATTATGTGTATTAGTTTGAATTACCATTTAATGAAACCTTTAATATTTGCAACTTTTACAAGGATCACTTTAAAAAAAATAGATAAATATGAGAAATAAAATAGATTAAAATATTATATTTAGAACTAAATTAAAAGTCAAATTAGTTTTTATATTAAGAATCGGAAGTAGTGTAATGGAAAAAAGGTTTTTGGTAAACAAAAAATTCAAAATGTAATAGATAAGTTTTGAAGCCATCTTTTTGGGATCGACTTGAAAGGTCATAATTGGGAGGCCGAGAAAAAGCCTGTGTAAGATTTGGGCAGGCCCGGCTTGTTTGATATCAGGCCGTAATAGACAGGCTAACTTTAGCTGGATTTATGATTGTTCATGACGATCCGCTCCTTGGAAAACAAGTATGTGAAGCTTGAAGAAATAAAAATTGAGCGCGCAGGGCCAATTTGCCGGTTAGCATCCGGTAACAGGTAAGAGAAGAATAAAGCGTGAAGGCACTGTCCCGGACACTGAAATGAAAGTGTCACTCCTCCTTCCCCCATTCCATTATAGCCCTTACCAAGCAAAGCAGAGCACGCTCACACCTACCAAATTTACACAATCACGTCTGGTTACTGCCTTGATTCTCGCGCTTTAACATCGAACCACCTTCGGCTTCACCTTCATCTGCCTTTCAATCTCCATCAGGTTTCACGAATCCAGGTACTTAGCTTGTTCTCTCTAATTTTGCAATGTTGATCGATTCTTTTAGTTGCGGAATCGAATATGAATTGATTTTCAGTTCTTCTCTCTTTTGGTAGTTTATTCTGCAAAGATTGGCGAATTGGCTCAGGTGTACAAAACCGGAAAATGCTTACGTGCATAGCTCGTCCCAAGAAACCCGGGAGTGACTCGCTGAGTCAGCCCGATGATCCCGATTCTAAGAACCAAGCCATCAAATCCCTTACGTCTCAGGTACGGACCCGTAACCATAACTGTATGCGAACGCTAAAGTCCAAATCTATTTGTCTTATTCGTTAAATATCTGCTTCAATTTAACTGTTGTTGAATGGACATTTTTTAGATCAAGGATATGGCGTTGAAAGCATCGGGAGCGTACAAGCATTGTAGTCCCTGCACGGGGCCGCCCACGCAGACTGGACTCCGGAGCAATATCGAGTCAGACACGGATTCGGATCGTTTCCGGTGGTCGTACCGGAGAACAGGGAGCTCAAGCTCGACGACGACGAGGACATGGGGGAAGGAGATGGAAGCGAGGCTCAAAGGGATTTCGAGCGGAGAAGGGACGCCGAATTCGTCCAGTGGACGGCGGGTGGACCCGGTGGTGTTGTTCGTGGAAGAGAACGAACCCAAAGAGTGGGTGGCGCAGGTGGAGCCTGGCGTTCTGATCACATTTGTTTCACTTCCGCGTGGTGGGAATGATCTGAAGCGAATACGGTTCAGGTACGTAGGCCTCCAATTCTTCTTTTCTCTGTTCCTGTTTAGAATCAGGCAGGCATGAACCGTCGTGTGGTGGTTCTTTTCTATGTCGCCGTGGTCTGATCAGACGGCGACTGTGCCCTGCGTTTACAGTGTTGGTCAAGATGGGACCCTAAAGCATCTGGATCGTGATCATGACATTGTGTGCTTTTTGCTACGGTGGACTGTCAATTTGTCCCCCGTCAATTTTTCGCGCGCTTTGCATTCTTGGTTTTTATATTACATATTGGAAATTTTTAGGTTAACATTGAGATAAAATTATCTGAGTATTTATCATTATATTTTAATGAAAAGCGGAATGTAAATTTTTAATTGTAAATGAATTATATAATAATTAAATGTACAACAGATGCTTATATAATTTTTAACAAAGGCATATGATGATAGATACTAAGAAATTGTGTGTTTAGATATTCTTTTTAAATCATACCATATGTATATATGGGAAATTAATTACTTATACTTTTTCTAAATTTTTAACCAGATTCTTGGGCTATTTTTATTGAGTCATTAGATTCATGAGTCTCTTAATTTTGAACCGTTAATGATATTAAGAATTTCGTTGGAGGGCATTGATGTGGCGGATACTTGTCTTAAAACTATCAACTCAGATTAAAAGTGCCACATAGGGGGAACAAGGTGGAGTCTTCTGCTCATGGAGACGTTGAGAAGGTTAACTGAACATCATCAGTTACACCATGTTGCAACGAGTGACCAGTTGCAATGGCCACAGTTGCAGCGATGAATCTGAAAATTTTAGGGACTATTGCCGCCCATTACGTTCGGCGATGCCCTCCATATATAAGGAGTTGAAATATGAAGATTAGGAAGGGGTTTCAGGGAGGGGCAGAGAAAGAGAGGGACCAAAGAGCGAGATTGAGGCAGAGGGGAAGCCACAAAAGAGAGTGGGACTGTGATTGCGGAATCCATGAGTTGTAGAGGGAGCAGATGAAAATGATAGTGCCGTGGTAGTGGTGGCAGCGGGTGATGCGAGGGGGAGGGGTCTTCAGTTTTTCTCTTACGTGGCACTTCTAATCTGAGTGGGAGTCCATGTTTGCAAAATAATCCAGGTGTTTCCCACATTAGTGCCCTCTAATGAAATGCTATCCCTGTCTAATGGTTTTAAAAGTGAGGGGTTGATTAATTTAACGACAAAAAAATTAAAAACCCAATAATCTAGATGTCCTTTACGTTAGTGCCCTCTTACGGAATTCTGCCCCCACTTAAAAAGCCATATTGTTTTTAATTCATAAATAATTTATTTTTTTGGCCAGAAAATAATGTATAATATAATATAAGTTATTTTACACTTTTTTTTGTGAACAACTTATTGTACACTTTATGTATGCACAAAATCAAATAATAATAATAAAGCCATGACTTTTATAGTAATAATACTCCTTAATTTATAGTAGTCCTTTATTAATATATCTAATAGTCTTTGTAGAGGTCAAATTTAAATACTATTTCCGGTTTTAAATATAAGATTCACATTATGATATAAATTAAACTATAAAGTAGATCTTATATGTAGAAAGAGTAAAGTACACAGGTGATTTAAATTGGGTTGTGAAGAGTTAGGGCAAATGAATCATTTGCATGTTTTTTGATCTGATGAATGCAAGTTGTGATAATCCACCAAATAAATCTTATAATTCTTGTTTGAAATATTCCAAATTCTCAGAACTTGTCTCTGGTAAAATAAAATAAAATTCTCAGAACTTGAGCTTTTTTTATTGTTGTTATTATTGTTTGGAAGGGTCGCAAAAGGCTTTGTGGGATCAAACCAACCACACCCCCCTAGTAGGGGACTGCTAGAGCATTGCACCAAGTGCAGAACTTAATGATTTTTTGTTTTTTTATGTGCATTTGAGCTTGCTCATTTATAATATCTTATCACGACCATGATTCTCATTGCTCGCCACGCCTAATCTGGTGAAGTATCCATAGTCCAAATACGAATCCCTTCATCAGTGATATGACTCCTTCTCCGGAAATATGAAATTGAAAGAGTTTGGCTGCGGGGACCACATTCCCCAGTATTTTCACGCCATTGCCAAAAGCAATCCAAAAGAGGTCCCAAAAGGAGAACCTATTGAGGCTTTGTTAGTGGAGGTGGGTCAGTGGTGATTGTGTTGGCAAACTTTTAACCCGAGCATGTCGTTTGGTCGGATGAAACCCCTCCCTTTTTTAAAATTTTTCCGTGCCTCATTCTTGGTGACTTTGTTTTCCTCTGCTAGCATTTTGTCTTTCAATCTGCAATATGCTGCGGAAAGCCCCCATTTTCTCCAAAGATCTTTATACAGGACAAAATATGAAACTCTACAAGACGGCCAGCCACAAAAGATAGAGATAACATAGGTTATAGGGTTTTGGCCCCTTCTTAATTTTCTTTTGTTATCGTATAGAATATTAAAAGCACAGAGAAATAGGGTGCATCATGTTGTGCTGGCCCTACTTAGTGACCTGTGATGCAATCTCAACACCTATGGGGTTAGTGGAGTCTGTGCATTCGTATTCATCATTTAATTTTTCTCCCTCAATTTAGTTCGGAAATTTAAGGTGTGGAATGATATAATAAGGATAAAACTAGAACTACTTCAACCAGCCATATCATTTCATGTTTAGGTGCGTCTAGAGATGTCGTTGACACATTAAACCTGGACCCACTTGTTTTCAATCGCGGAGACAAACCCCAGTGTAAGGTCAATGTTGGCCTGGGATCTGCTTTATTCCGTCCACCGAATGACCGGGTATGCCTTTAATTATATTTCGAGCATTCTTTGTCAAAAAGTATCGATTGAGTGACTTCGCATGATTGAAAACAGTGTCACAAACCATTAGAAACTAACTGTTTGGTCAAGCCTAATTAAAAAACATGACAATAATAACAATAACAATAATAATAATAGGGTAATTGGGTTTGGGTAGAAGGTTTCAAGCTTTAGTCACGCTAAAATGCTTGATTAACTTTAACATGAAACAATTATTGTTCCACCGCCCTACCAAACATAGATAAATAGGGATGGCAAGGACGAGTAGGAAACCACTCAATTCTCAAAACACTTGATTGCTTATTTCAGAATTTATTTAATTTGGGTGTGGAAAAATCCTGATTTTTTTTAAGTAGGCAAGGTTCTTTTATGGAAACCATATGTCAGAGAGGGGGTCCATTATTATGTGATTATTTATCCCCTCATTTCGTCTAAAATCACTTCGTGTATCTAAATTTGAATTTATTTTACATAAAGTTTTGTTCAATTTTGGTTTCAATCCTTAAAAAAATTAGCAATAATCAAACGCGCAGTTCTACTCATGATGAATTGATCACCAACGGTCCCACAGTTGTTATGCGCATTGGCGAAGTATTCTCATGTATGATTTATACAGTCGTCAGGACTAAGGAACTGGGACTGAATTTAGCTTTATTTTCGATGTACAGTCGCGAGATGTTTAACAAATGGCAAGCTCAAAGATGGTGGGCAGAGAACTACGACAAAGTTATGGAACTTTACAACGTTCGAAGGTTTAACCGCCAAGCTTTCCCTCTTCCAACGCCACCAAGATCCGAAGATGAGGTAAGCTCTGAATTTCAATACCTCTTGGGCATTATCATGGCCAACTTAGTAACAAGAAGGCGCATGCATGTATGGAAGATTGAAAGCAAATTATTCCCCCCCCCCCCCGGGGGGCTCCTTTTGACATGTGAAAGCAGAGTAGCTTAATGGGCAAGAAAACGGAAAGTTATATGACTATATAAAAATGATTAATTGTTCAATAATATATGTACAAATATGATTGTAAATTTATATTCTAAAATTAACAAATAATGAAATAAAGTAATTTAATTTAAATATTAAAAATTGAAATATTGACATGTCAAATTTATATTCTAAAAATTTTATTCAACTGGGCTCTTTTTATTCTTCACAGATATTTTGTTTAATCAAAAATCATTTCAGAAATGAAAATTTCACTTAGAAATCAACAACATAAATTATTTATATTAATTTTTAATTAGAGTTAACTGACTTTTTCTGGAGATTAGATGTAGTATTTGTTCCCTTTTTTTGGGCATAACACATATAATATTTACATTTGCTCTAATGTATTTTAGCGAGGCTAGTTTTAGCCATCATCTTGAAATTGTCAATAGTTTGCCACTGTCATCAGTTGTTTATTCATTACCTGATCTTTAAAGGAAAGGGGGTAACGGATTTGTCTATCCCCCATGATGCTTGTTTAATATGGTCTATTTCCCTGCGTCAAAAACAGAGCTCAAAGATTGAATCAGCGGAAGACAGCCCAGTGACACCTCCACTAACTAGGGAACGTTTACCTCGTAATTTGTACCGTCCTCCAGGACTGGGAATGGGATACTCATCCTCTGATTCCTTTGATCATCAATCAATGCAATCCCGGCATCACTATGACTCTAATGGTATGAACTCAACTCCTAAAGTTTCCACCATTAGCGCAGCCAAGACAGAAATATCATCAATGGACGCCTCCATGAGAAGTAGCTCATCCAGAGAAGCTGATCGCTCCGGGGATCTTTCAATCAGCAATGCCAGCGATCTGGAGACTGAATGGGTTGAGCAGGATGAACCTGGGGTTTATATTACCATTAGAGCATTACCGGCCGGTAAAAGGGAGCTCAGAAGAGTAAGATTCAGGTAAGCTTACGCTCAATTGTATGGCCAGACGTATTCCCTTCGTGGCTATGCTGTTGTGGGTAGACATATAATTGCTACTTGATAGGTCATTATAATGACATCCATGCTAGCAGCAACTGCACTTGCAGTTGGTTGAGTTTGATACTAAGAAGCACTTACGAGATACAGAACAAGAACATGATATTATACAAATGGCAAGAAACCTCAAGATATAATTTTCAAATGTATCTTGAATTATCTTGTCACATATTTTGATGAGCCGGATATTCATTAGACATAACGAAGCCCTGTTGTTGAAATATGAATGCTTCGTAGATTTGACCGGACAAACCTATAACTATTTCCAAAATTTTAAACAAACTCTACAATTGCTGCTCTGGTCTGTTTCTGCATAAATTCTGATTTATCTATCACTGTCAATAGTCAGTAATGGTGTCCAATTAATTCCAGTCTCAAGGTTTGTAATTTTTTTTCTTGGTAACCATTAAGGTAAGTGTGCATGCGCTTAAACAGAGGCATATTTGAGATGTACATTTGTGCTCATTGTCTTGATTACATTTTGACATGGAATTGAATCGAAATTGATAATTCTGGTTGTTTTTCCATGTGATGTGCAGCCGAGAAAAATTTGGGGAGATGCATGCTAGATTATGGTGGGAAGAGAACCGCGCCAGAATACATGAACAATATTTGTAAGATTGAACGGAATTGGTGGCTGCTGATGCTATCCAAATTGTGGAGGTGGCTCTGCATATCAAATTGTTTCATATCTGTTTTGCGATACTACTAAGTCTCACTATAGGGAATCACATATCAGAAAGAGGTGCCACTGGCACCTCTCCGTTTTGGGCTCTCTTTCTCTCTCTCTATCTATCTAAATATTAATCCGATGGGATCACGCTTTTAATTGTGTGATCGGGTCAGGTTATTCTGTGGGATGAGGGTGGGGAAGTTAACTTATATTAGTTACTTCTTTCAGATATTGGCGGATCAAAAGAGCATACTTTAGAAGTGTGGTGGGTGTAAATTCTATATAGCTATTCAAATTGGGATTCAAAGAATGAATCTACTGTCATTTTCTTTTGTGCCCTTTCATATATCCATTTTCTAGTTGCGGCATGCTTCTTTGTTTTCACCAAGTAACCAAATAACATAAACTAAGATGTTTCCAGAAGCTGCTTCACCAGGTCCGTGCGGGAATATATGCTCTCTTTCAAATTATGATAATCCTCTCTTCATTTTTTCCCTTCGTGATAATTCATGGCAATCTTTAAGAATTTTCTCCATTTTTCACTGCCTACAGCCTTTTCAAATACTATCCTAGTTCTAATTATAAAACCCCGCTTACAGTCTACAAATGAGGTTTTATAATTAAAACTAGAGATAATATATTTTAATTTATGTATCGTCTTTTGCGTTGTATCCTTCTTTCCCCGACATTGAGATTTTATCTTCTCTCTTATGTGCTCACCTTTTTATCCCACATAGGCGTCCTTTTCTTATTCTTGCCAACACACAAGAATTTTTATTAAAATTTTTTATCACATATAATTTCGTGGAGGTCCATTGTTCATGTCTTATCTTGATCCCCCATGTTTTTACGAACGGGCAGCAAAACCTAGTTTAGTATCCTGTGTGTTTCATAGGGATTAAGTCTAACAGAAAAAGTTAGTCCCTCACAATATGATAAACTAAGGTTTAAATCCTATTAAAAGAGATGCCTGACAGTGCCTCGAATATGATTGAGGATACCTGTACTTTAGCAAAAAAAAAAAAATTGGAAGGTCACACTGATATTTACTAGTATACTAAATATGCGTGCACAAAGCTCACTTTTTTTTTTTGGGTAAAAAGGTGAAACAGAAAAACACAAACATAAACTCCCATGAAAATATGAACTCCCATAAATGAGATGGGAATAGGTCTGTAGAATCTTTGCAAGCTAAATAAAATGAGAATGGAACAGTAAAATCTTTGTAAGGTTTTTTTGGGCAAGAATAATCTCTTGCAAGTTGAGAAATTAGTGAAATTACAAAAGAAAAGAAATAAAAAATGGCACGAGGAACAAAAGCTGGAATATTCAAAAAAAATAAGAAACAAAAGAAAAAAAAAGATAAAATTACACTAAGATGATTTATTTGTTATTTTAAATTAAATTAAAATTTTGGTCCAAAAGAGTCATTTCTGCTTAATTAAAACACATAAAAAAAATAAAACCAACTTATTAATTATTTCATTACCATGCAAAAATTAAGCATCGTTCAATAAAGTCTAGAAGAAATTGAGTTGAAGCCAACAAGAATTAATCAAATCAATTAGGAGTCGACTCATAATTCATAAAGTTGTGAATTTGAATCTTACTGATAATGTAAGAACCTTGTTAGTAGGTAATCTATAAATATTTTTATAAACATTTTTTTTTAATTTAGAGACATACACTAACACTTGTGAGTCTCGAATCCAATGTTGACAAAAAAAAACAGAGATTGAGTTGGATACTTATTTTTCGTTAAAAAGGATTTGGATACTTATCATTTTGTTGAAATTTTTAAAGCCCAGTGTCATGCAAACAGACCCTGAAGAAGCACTGTGAGTCTGTGGCAACCCAAGTTTCAAAAGTGGGTCAAGACCCATCAGCGAGGACGGAGGAACACATCAGAACCCATTAGGCATTAACTAATTATCCATTCATCATCATCATCTTCTTGTGATACACAAAGGAAACGGACAAAAACTAAAACAAGGCAAAACATCCTAAGAAATATCCAAAGATGTCAGAAAGCCATCAAGCTGGAATAAGGGCAGAGCATAAAATCCTGGACAGCGAGTGCTTGCAGTCTTCGCCCATTTTCCTTTTTGATTAAACATATATATTTTCTTGTTAAAAGTATATTTAAGGTTATACTAAGTGTTAAAAATGACTTTTTTAATAAAAATTTAAACTTCGATTCACTGCATTGTGAGGAATTATCAGACCTATTACCTAACCCCTATCAGTTCATCCATTCTTCTTTAATTTTGCATAAATTTGCCAAAATCTCATAATGTGAAAATCACATTTTTAATAAAGGGGATTCCACCTCGAGTGAGGCTAAAGTTTAACCCCAATGAGTAACATGCTCATTTTCAAACATGCTTGCATTAATGTTTCAATAACGCATTATCTCAAACTATCTATATTACGAGTATAGTGAGTCAATTGACTTTCTTGAAATACGATTAAGGGTGTGTTTGGATGAAACCAAACCGTGGTTTGAAAAAGTGATTCTGGAGAATAGATTCTGGGAAAAATAGATTCTGTGAAGAATAGATTTTGTAAAAAAGTGATTCTGAGAAATGAGAGTGTTTGGATAGTTGTTATCAGAAGCACTTTTTATATATACAAATTATTAAAAAAAAGACATAAGTTAATATGATAATTACAGAAAAAATAGATTTTATGATATATTTTAATTGAAGAATAAAATTGTTAATAATATGTTTCTACCAACATAATTAATAATACATAAAGATAATTAATTAAAAATAATAATGTGTATATATTTATAAAATATAAGATTAAATATATTATAAAAAAATATGTTTATAAAAAAAATAACAAGATACATATCATATAGGCCCTCACACTCTCCCTTTTTTCTCTAAAAGCAAAAAAATTTTCTTTTTTCAAAACCATGGTTTTGACCCAAAACCATAGTTTTGGTTTTGGAGGGGGTGTTTGGTAGATTATTCCTAAACCATGGTTTGGGGTGTCACCCAAACACACCCTAAAAGTGATTGTTCAATTCCTCACAATGAACTCTCTTATTTTGTTCAACCACTTCTTCATTTCTGGTTGAAGAAGTGAGACTTGGAAGGGACCAAAGCCTGTGGCTTTTCTGACTGAAGAGATTGTGCCCTTTGGAAAATCAAGACTCGCAGGGAACGTATGTGAGTGTTCATAAAAGGGCTAAAAAAGAGAAAACAGAGCACAGAGATTCGGCTTGCATTAGTGATTGCAACAAGATAGGCTTGTGAGCTTGGATCTGATAGATGAATAGGACTGAAATAAATGCAGTTGGGTTAGCCCTTGATCAGAATCCTATGCTCTGTGTTATCTCTACCAAAGGACTCAAGTGAATGCATGTGGAAACTTGAAAAGAAACAAACAAACAACCAACCAAACAAGCAAACAGCCAAGTCATCAAATGATACAACTGAATTTAACTCAATTTCAACTGGTAAAAACTAAAAAGAAAGAAAGAAAGAAGCAATGCACAAGCAAATGAATAATGAATCTTCAAGTCGTGTGAGTGTGGTCTCCTCAAAAAGATTGCCCGCACGCGCGGTGTTCACTTTTAATCAGTTTCAACTCTTTCTTTTTAACATTCCCCCCCTCTCTCTCTCTCTCTCTCTCTCTCTACTCAGTGCTCAGTCACAAAGTGTGCGGTATGACATTTCTCATTTATGTTCACCTAAAGCTGTACAGTGCACTACTGCAACACCCAAACATGCTTGCTTTTCTACTCAGAACACTTAATAACGCTATCTCGTTCCTCACACGTTCAACGAAAACCCCATACTCTCTTTTTTCCAACCTCGCACGCAATGTCCTCTGTTTTTCTTTTTCTTTTGCACACGTTTGTTCTATCTCTACTTGCTTTCTATATATATATCCACACATGTATAGTGGTGCTCCTCTCAGCGTTTGACATTCCCTGCCTGCCTCCTCACTGACCATCGCTCTTTTCCTTCCTTAAACTAAATTGTCCTGCGCATATTTCTTTCATTTTTTCTCTGTAGATTTGGTCTTTTCCTGCGGAATCTGCATGCCTCAAAGATGCACAGAAGGGAGAGATCGATGCGAGATGGCTCGTACCCACGAAGCAGAAGGACCCCCTCCTTCTCTTCATCTCTCCTTGACGCCATTTACCGTTCCACCGACCAATCAAAATCAGATCTTGATGAAGATTCTCAATTGGGTCTCTGCAAGGAAGTTCACCACACGAAACAGAGCAACATGCGCCGCAGCGGTGGAGTTTCTCTGGGAAATGAATATGGCAAAGTCAGGGATATGAAACATCTTCGCCGATCAACATTTATGGTTGAAGATTGGATGGAGAAGCAGAGTTCCCACAGCTCTTCAGAGTGCAGTTCAGGAGGATTCTTTTCGTCGTCGGAGACAGAGACGAGCTGTAAACAGAGATCGAGGCCTAAATCAGACAAGAGGCTGAACTCAGAGAAGCAAAAGAAACAGAAAGTGAAGCAACCGATGTCACCAGGAAGTCGAATAGCTAGTTTTTTGAGCTCTATCTTCAACTATGGAAGCGTGAAGAAGGCGAAAATGTGCTACGTTGGGGCGGTGGAAGATGTTAATTTCGAGCAGAAATGTCAGTCTCCATGTGTTTCTTCCTCTGCTTCTTCATATTCAAGAAGGTCTTGCATGAGCAAAACACCCTCTTGGGCTAAAAAGAACAATGGCGTAAAGAGGAGCGTTAAATTTTAAATTTTACCCCGTAAACATAATTCTGGGCGAGGATTCTCAGCATAAATTTGTCTGCCAGAATGATCCAGATATAATGCCATTCCTAGCAGTGCAGGAAAAATCACAAGAAACTCTTCAACGAAGGAGGACGAGAAGAAGAAGCAGAAGAAGAAAAACTCTGTTATGGCCAAAGAAAATGGATCAAGAAAGGGTGAGTTTGATTTCAGATTGTTGTACAATCATAATGGCGAGGAGGAAGAAGATGAAGATGATGCTTTGAGCTGTTCAAGTTCGGATCTTTTTGAGTTAGATCATCTGATTGGAGGTGGAAGGAGGTACCAAGAAGAGCTTCCTGTTTATGAAACTACTAATCTGGAAACAAACAAGGCCATTGCTAATGGTTTGCGTTTGTAATTCGCTGTAATTATAATGTAATGCGTTGTGGACTTTTAATTCAGGACTATTTTGTTTCATTACATATAGATGATACTCATACGTTCTAAGCATGCGAGGGTTTTTTTTTTTTTTGAATGACCTGAATTTGATTCTTCTCAACATTAGAATAAGAATTTCAAAAGCATCAAGTCGATGCGGGGGAAAAAAGAACAATT